TTAGGCTGGGTCTACATAGGATGTAGTAAGTCGTGGCGGCAGAAATTGACCAATCACAGTTCATTATTCTCCTTACGGTCGAAGAATAATGAACTGTGATTGGTCAATTTCTTCCGACACGACTTACGACATCCAATGTAGACCCACCCTTAGACGTGCGGGTTCTTTCCGTATGAACGCGGCATTGACTCTGGCAGGTCTGCCAAGGATCTCCTTGCGATGCTGCATAGACAAGCAGACTGGCGTATTGTTTTTGCTCGACGGCGGCACGGCGGTCGTGAGATTCGGGCGTGAGGCATGCCGCACTTGTGACGATTGACGATAACGCGGTAGACAAAGAGGATCGCCCCCTGCCTCCGGGATGTGCGACAATTCCTGGGAGCCCATAGCCCAGATCTACATCGTGGATCAGGAGTCCACCGATCCCGATGATTACATTTACTGTCTTTGTAGCCGAATATTTATCCGGTAAGCGCGCCCGGTCGGTCGCATCCTACTGTCACCTACGACGACGTTCCTCGTCGGCCCTCGACGGTCAAATGTCCGGCATTCGTCGGGCTTACGAGGACGCTATAAAGAATTAACGCGCTTATTGATCAGCGTCGGTGTTGGACGTGATTTAACCTTGACACCCGCTCGTCCATTGTGAGCGGGTCGCGACAGATCCCGGCGGTGTGCTTTTCGAATCTTCTGTCGTTTGTCGTACCACTCGACGAAGTGAAATTCTGAAATCGGTGGACCAGCAGTTTGCCCAATCAAGACTATCGGTGGACCAGCAGTTTGCCTAATCACGGTAGTGTCCGGCATCAAGTATACACGGAGATAGAACAGTTTCGTAGAAAAGTCGCTGCCCTTTAGCAGAGTGATAGGGTTTTTCAGGCGTGATTCAACAATGTGTTTGTATTCTCTTGTCAACTTTTTTTCTTTTATAGTACATCCCCATGGTCGCTATAATTTACCGAGATTTTGTAGAATTCGTTGGATTGTAAAGAATTGTTTGTCGCTCTAATGTCAACGATAGGAAGAGATGGGGAGTTTAGAAACTGGAAACTCTCGTTAAACTTGCCATTTATATGTAGCTCGTACAAATAAAAAAGACGATCCTGCTGTTCTTTAATAATGATCCTTTAAGGATGAAGAAGTTCCTATGAAATCAGATTACTGAGAGAAAAGAATGAGAAAGCTAATAAGTTTAACTGTTTAAATTAGGATAAAGTTTCTGTTCTTGCTTTTGAGTTGATATTTATGCCCGGTTTTACCAAGCGTCGCTTAACTTTGATCTTAGTTTAATTCATGCTTGTCTCTTTCTGCAGTAACAGTTGGAAAGATACAAAGAACGAATTAAGCTAAGCTTAAAGTTAAGTGACGTTAGCGAAACCGGGCCTTGGAGTTAATTAAATTACTGGTCTTGTGTTTCTACGCTGTTATTCTTTCCAGGAATCCCGAGGTTTATACTGTCTTAGCCTCGGAAGATGCCAGCGAAGGGGAGGATGCCGACGGGGATTACGTAGGGGAGATGCTAGATCTTTGTAAAGGATCCGGAGTAGAGACACAATCTATAGAAAAACATGATGTATGATACATACTTGTCATTTACTAGTGACAGTTATATGAAATTGTAGAGTTTAAACGGCGACTAGTTTTGACGACGTTAAGCGAGCTGTTGATTTTTTGATGTAGGAAGAACCAGTGAGCTGTTATTGCAGCGCATCTCACACGGATAACAATTATTCCACGGACGAGCATGATTCGGTACGCGATTCGGCTCATTGGCCCACCGCACACTCCCTGACTCAAAAGCTGGGTCTGCACCAGTCGGATTCTGGCGCGGACTTGTCCGAGTATCATGATCAGCATGAGGCAAAAAGTATACAGAATCTCGTGGCGTCGTATGGGAAGACTTTTCAAACTATAGAAACTGAGGTTGAGAACAACTGCGAAAATGTGGACATGCTAACTGAGCACGAACATGTGTCAGGTAATTGCGCTATTAAGGATTTCAAGGATGTTGTGCCAAATTGTAACTGTCGTGTTGAATTAAAATAGATGTTGCATTGATAATTTTGCATTTTTTTGCATTAGGTGACAAGGAATCTATGGTACAACACTTATCAGACAGTACCACTATATTAAATACGGAAGGACACAACAAAGATCTCATTACACAATATGATTATAATTCTTACGCTTATCCCTATTCTGCAGATTATAGCAGTAATAAGAGTGCGAAGGACATAGCGTGGGACAAGTTTTGGGCTAAACACGGGGAGCAGTTAATCTGGGCATCCTGGATCGAAAAATATGCGGATTATATCAATCCCGATTATTTCCAAAATAATGCACGCACAACAGAAGACGAGAAGTTGCAGGATGCGGAGATTAATGAAGTAGCCATAGAAAGATATTTCGAGCACAATACGTGTTTTCCGTCTCAAGCGCATAAGAATTGCGAACTTCTACGTTCTAACTTTGCAGGAATTTTCAATAAGAGTTGTTCGAGCGACAGTGAACTAAAGCCGACAGCAGTATCCTCTTCGAACACTAGCTTCTCATTTGAACAAGCGAGCAGGCAAGAAGTTAATGACAAAGATGCGGACGAAAATAGAAAGAAAATTCTCAATTTCGAGATATTGTTGCAAGAAGGCGATGGTTGGAATCCCTTGAGCCCACTTAGTATAGAAGAAAATTATAATCACCAGTCTAATGCAGAAGACGAGAGGCTATTGATGAGATGTGATTCCGTTAATGGCTCAGTAACGAAAACGAATGCGACCTCAGATTCCATGACTAATGTTACCAAGATGACGTTAACTAGTTCCAGTTGCGATTCCAATTCTGTTCATTCGTCTAGTCTCGTCACTTCCGTAACAAGCTCCGTAGAAAGTAGTATGACTAGTACTAGTTCCGAACAGGAGAACGAATTTTCAGTGGAAGACAACGACAAATATTGGCAGCATCTGTGGAAAGAGAATTTTGAGACTCAATATCAAAGGCAGTATGAATTATTCATAGCAAATTATAATAAGGAGCACAACGTAGACCATAATCAATTATATTTTAACACGTTGAACGAGTCGCATGGCGACACGATTGTACTTGAACAAGACGATGAGGCGATGCCTCAAGGAGATAGAGACAGCGAAGAGCTTTGTACCTGTAAAGATCAAAGGAACGAGAGCATAGATACTGTACAAATTGACTTAACTGCATCGAGTAAAGTAAATTCTGAAAATAGATACTCACGGAAGGGCAGTGCGCCCAACTCCAAGTCCAAATTAAGGACGAAGAGGCTGATCATGGATTCAGTGGGCGTGCTTATGAAGAATTTAACAATAAGGGTGGAGGAGAACAAGCCGACTGACGTGGAAGAAGAGATGCGCGAAGAGTTGCAGCAGACTTACGCTCAAGATCTAATGGTTACCGAAACAATTGAAACAATGGTTTCCCGTAACAATTTCGACAATAGTCATCAACAAAAGTCTTCTGATGGAGGAGATGAATTTCATGAAGAGATTCAAGACATTTACAGAGAAAGGTAAAATATAATAATAATAATAATAGTAACAGCAACTACTTCATTGTTTGCTCATGCAATGTCATAGATTAAATGATTCTAACGTATACCTTTTGCCGTAACATTAAAAAAATGAAACAGAATATATAATATATGTAATTATAATTCAGTTAATGTTCAGCTATATTATTTAATTATAATGTGAAGTATATAAGTATAGTAGAAGATAGAATAAAATGTACTTGTCTCTTTCGTCTAGTCACGAGGCTGATTGTAACGATAATGCGGATGGTTTAGAAACTGTGAAAAAAGCCTTCTCATTAATGGGCTATGCCAATTTTATCGAGGATGAAAGCCAAAGAAAACTGCGAGGCGAAGTTGTTTATCGAAAACGTAATATCAGGCGGCAAAGTTTTCACTTGATGGCGGAACTCAAACGCCTGAAAACGAAGTATAAAACTTTCGACGACGCAGAAACGACCGTCAGATATACAAATAAGGTAAACCTTTTTTTTTTCCTTAACATATTTCGATTTACTCAGTTCACGTAAAATAAGTGTTTTAACACTCTGTCGGTTTATTTTTATTTTTCTAATTATACTACTTCATGTATTGAGGAGAGACGACTACCTACAGGCTCCGGCGGACCAGCGCGATAATGCGACGCGCGATATTTAATAAGTGCACAGTTCTTCCGAAAATCTTATGGAAAAATTCTACACCCATTGGATCTCGTGCGTCGTGTTGTTATCGCGCTAGGACCTCATTCTCGAAGATTATTGTATGCGATATTTTTCAAGAATAAGACCCCTGGTCCGCCGAAGCCCATATTCATTTAGTGTTTTATAGATTCAAATATCTGTTCTTTATAACTGCATTATATTGTAATTCCCGTATTCAAAAGTGAATAATACGATTATATGCATGTATATTAGAGAGAGGGGGGGGGGATAAAATAAAAGTAAGCTATAAAGAACAAATCTATTGCTAACTAAAAGATTCCTTAGGGAATGTTTCAATGAATACTGGATGCATTCTAAAAACAGCGCTAAACATAAAATCGTTCTTTGTAACTGCACTACATAAAGTATCCTTTATTTCCAATAAAATAGATATGTAATCAAACGTTGGGAAGAGAGAGAAAAAAAATGAACAATATAAAAAGTTCAGTTACAACGAACGAACCGGTTATACCTGGCATGGCTAACCTACGGCCCGCGACAATATTTAAAAAAATCAAAGACAAAACTATAAAACTAGTTTTATTAATGTTTAAGATTAAAAATAGTTTTGGTACTTCTTTTTATAAGTACAAAATTTTAACAGTCATTTTTAATTAAAAAAATTTTTTAATTACACTTTAAAAAATATAAATAATCGTTTTGGCTCGCAGAAAGTTTCAAAATTTTGACTGTAGCCCGCGATATTGGAAAAAGATTGAGTGATGCAATGATGGTAATTTATTAGATTGCAAGCAATCCAGCAGGAAAAATGGCTTAAAGCCTGCGACACACGATGCTTTTTTACATTGCTTGCTTGCTCTCACCTGTGACAGCCAATTGGCACTGCTGTATGACTTGAGACTACATTTTCATTGGCTTTCACCTTCGTATGCAAGCAATTAAGCAGGCAAGAAGCATCGTGCGCCACTGACTTTAATGTTTCTAAAAACGTTTTGCTTTTACGTAATCGTAAGAGACTCTTCCCATAGACTCTTTAATGTACAGGTTGCCTCGATTCAGTATTTGTTGGTGCAGGGTCTCACAGCAAGGGGGGGGGGGACACACATTGACTACGTTTACACGGTGGCTTATAAGTCGGTTTAATAACTACGGTATACTATCCGATGCAAAACTTTTCTCCTTTTGACTATAATGATTATTTAAATATGAGCCTATTTTGTTACCCTAAACATTTTAATAAATTTCTTTTCATATATACTTTCATTTCATATACATATACTAGAAATTATAGTTGAAGTATCAGAAATGCTCATATTTAAGTGATCGTTATGATCAAAAGAAAAAAAATTTGGATCGGGTAGTATACTGTAGTTATTAAATCGGCTTATAAGCCGCCGTGTAAACGTAGTCATTGATAAAATAGTCTCGCTTTTAAATTGAACGTCTCTGTCTTATACATGGGGTCTACACCGTCTGCACTGTTTAGCTGAACTGACTGCACTAACTGCACTGACTGCAGAATTTACCTTTCTCTTTCCAATCTATTAGTCTGCAATGTATAAGACGGAGAGGCTGTGCGATGAGAGTAAAGAACACCGCCAGTGACCGCCACGACCAATCGGAGCCAAGTGCTTCATTGAGGCAACCTGTATTCTGGTTTTCGAGGCATTCCCACGTGTAGCACTGTAGGGAAGTGGCGAGAGAAAGAAACGTAGACCGTGTTTATCGCCACCGCGGTTTTGTGATGTATTTTTTCAACGGCGGACTTTTGATCGTGGACCTTTAATTATAGACGAACAACTATTTATCTTGCGATCCAACGTCTATATCAGCGGATGCCGATGTACAATCCAACGACAAAGGTTCCTACGCAAAGGCACAAGCTGCATTTACGTCGAGTTCTGATGACGAGGACAGCGTAAAGAAGATGCAGAGGAGAAAGAGGAAGAAGCAGTTTAAGAGATTAAATAAGAACCTACCGAGAGAGATAGCCAATGACTATAAACTGTGGAAGTATTACATCAAACGGTTTGGCCTGTTCAGCAGATACGAAGACGGTATTAAGTTAGATCGAGGTATGTAAATGCAAATCTGTCTGTCTCTTCTAATTGAGATTTTTTTTACACACGTAAAGCGACAATCTCTTTCACAGAGAGTTGGTTTTCTGTGACACCGGAAGAAATAGCAAAGGATATAGCAGAAAGGTGTAGGTGCGACACGATCATTGACGCATTTTGTGGGGCGGGCAGTAATTCCATTCAGTTTGCATTTACATGTGAAAGAGGTACGTCTATCCGTCGTATAAAACTTTACGGGTTGAAGCACATTTTCCTGACCGATTGTATGTTACAGTGATTGCCATAGACATTGATCCTAACAAGATCAAGATTGCTCGACACAATGCAGGAATTTACGGCGTGGACGATAGGATAGAATTTATTACTGGGGATTTCCTGCAATTAGCACCGCAGTTGATTGCGGACGTCGTGTTCTTGAGTCCGCCATGGGGCGGTCCTGACTACATAAAGAGAAAAGTGTTTGATCTCGAAAGTATTATATCTCCCGTTGGTGGCAGAAGTATATTTGAAGCAGCAAGAAGAATCACACAACATGTGGCCTATTATCTCCCTAGAAATTCGGACCCTCTGCAGGTAAATATTTTTGTGATAATTCCATTTGCGTATCTAAAGGAACGTAATTGCATTATAAATGTAATTGCAGATGATCAAGTTAGCCGAGAAGAATGGTAAAGTGGAGATTCAACAAAACATGTTCAATGGAAAGTTTACTGCTTGTACAAGTTACTACGGTGAATTGGCCAGGACGTAATTTTAAGCGCAGGAACAAGAGATATTTTTTTAGTTGACGGTTTTTCATTGTTTTTTTTTACATATACTCGTCACAACCAAAATCGTGATACTTCTTTTCAGTTAATAGTATCTTAGCTGTACTGTGACACTGAAGGATAATGTACTTTATCTTTTACTACTTCCAAATTTTATTAACTCGCATTTTTTATGTACGTTCTTCCATATATACATATATAATTTTAATTTTAATAAATATACCTTTAAGAAAGTATTCTTTATTGATATATCTAAAAATTTCTTATCTAAGATCTTGGACGAAATTTCAAAGTAAAAACAATGTTCTGAAAATTATTTAATTTTTATTTACAATAAATAATTGTACTTGCAACGTAGGTTTATTTTATCATTCAGTTATCATAAAATAAAACAAAAGATACCGAATATGGCAAAATAAAGTTTTTGAAATAGCAAGAAATTCATGATCTAAAGCAACTTTTTACATCTCATATATTGGCATATAATGAGTAAGTTTACAATCACGAGGCACGGTAGTGTCTCGCGCCAAGTATTCTTTTTTTAAACCTTTTTTTATTAATTTGATTAACAAGAACGATACAAAATGAAGATGATCGTAATTTTTCGTAAAAATTATAACAAATTTTTATGATTCTTTAACAATTTAGCTTAAATTAACTTTCTAACGGTATTCCTGAATTTAAATTCTATAACATTCAGAAATAATATCACAATATTAATAAATTTCTGTTAAAATTTTAATCTTATCACTTGTAAAAAAATTTAATTATTAAATCATACAGGACTAGCTCTTTTTTATTAGTTTGTCATTTGAATATATAATCTTGCGTCATATCATGATTTATTGTTTTACATTATTTGTTTGCTTGAACATATTGGAGGACATTTTTATTATTCGACATATTTTATGTATTACTTGCGTAATCTCACGAATCAATATCGATATTTGTCACATATTTTTCTTCAATATCACTGGTAGTTATGTTTGTTTCTTCAATATCAATGGTTCTAATACTTCTTTCCTCAGGTTCTGCAGGTATTGTTATACCACCAGTGTCTATGCTTTCTTCCTCTTCTCTAGGAATTTTTAAGAAGCAATGCATGGTCTCGTCGTCTTCTTGCTCGATAGTAGAGTCATTTTTGTTCAAACTTTCTCTCGTCGATAACGAACCCTGAAGATGTTTCGACGGTATTTGTATTGTGATTGTCTGAGAGGTACCGTCAGCGGACGTTGAGGAAGACATCAAATTAGCTTCTAAAGTATCCCCATCTTTCGAAAAGGCACCTAAACAGCTGTAAACTAATTGCGCTGCCGCAATATTGCCGGGAAAGACCTCGACATTCTCGCTGTCTGCGTGTAAAGAAAGTAGTCAAGGAATTTAAATAAAGATATCTACTAAATCTGACACACCAACGGTTCATTAAATCTTAGTATTACCTTTCTTTTGCGCATTAGATTTTATCAAACCCTTTTCATGATCTCCTAAGTGTTGGATGTAACTTTCATTTTTCACCGTCTTGAAAGAACACAGATCGCACGTGAATAAGCCAGACAGTAAAGGGTGCCTCGATTTTAAATGGTTTTTATAACTGCTGCTCTGTATCGCCGTATATGAGCAATGTGGGCATTTGTACGGTCGAAATCCTGTGGTTAAAAAAAAACAAAAATCGAATCGCTTCTCCACAATGGTGTTGATTTTGGATGTAACCCTTACCCGTGTGCTGCATAATATGCCGTCGTAAGGTATTGTGATCTCCAGTTTTGTATTCGCAAATTTCGCAGCTGAAGGGCTTGTCTCCCGTGTGCTGACGCAAATGCATCTGCAGCATTGCCTTCTTGGCGCTCGCGTGGCCACAGACGTTACACACGTACGGACGCAGCTTGGAGTGCACAGCCTGAATGTGATTTTTTAAACATTTCGAGTTCGCATAAGTTTTGCCGCACATTTCGCACTTCTTCGAGGTGTACCATCGAGTTACTTCCAACGTTTTGCGATCCAGATGCATTATACGGTGATTGCGCAACTGACTGGCCTGCTTGAAACACTTGCCGCAATCGGGACATTTGTAGTCGCGGCTATCACTGTGCACCCTCATGTGCGTCAAGAGTTTTACCATGGTAGCACTTTTGTAGGCCTCGCAAATTTTGCAGGTGAACAAACCTATGTCTGTATTTAAGAAAAAATAACTGCGTAAAAATGTTAAACTCCCCTTACGTCACTTAGCTTATATTTACGAACCAATTTGATGACTTTTCCATAAGTGCAAGCTACACTGACGCCACTTTGTAAACTTCATGTCTCGACACACGCTGCACTTGAATGTCGTCCCAGTTTCAGATTCCGTGTGGCAAAGGATATGTTGCTGCATAATTTCCTCCGAGGCGAATTTGTACGGGCAGCCCTGATAGGAACACCTTAAGCAAGGATCGCACATTAATTTAGATATTAATAGCAGTGAAGGGATGAGTTTCTTCCGCGTGGCATACACATCTTTCGGAAGATTACATACTTGACATTTAGCTCCGTCGTCTCTATCATATTTCTGTTGCGCATATACTCCGAATTTAGGGTCTTGGAAATTTTCACTGGACTTTTCTCCGCCTGGCCGCCCTCGACGTGTTGGCTCCCGTGTACAGCTATCAGGCCGGGATTCGTCAGGCCTGTCAAGTTTTCCTTTCCAGCCTCGTCGCTCGCAATGTCCGTCAATTGATGGTCCTACAAGAAGTACATATTCTATCGTATCGCCCGGGCAAAGGTAGCCTATCAAGAAAATTAAGTTCAAGATGATATTACATTAATCACGTGTTCCCTACAGCCCTCAAAAGAACGGAAGTAGTTGGAACACTCCTCACACATATAAACTATTCTTACTCGATCCACTTTAGACTCTTCCCTTGGCTACATAATAATAATAAAAAGTAAGCCAATCTTTACACCGCGCTACAAGCGCTTCTGCCGAGCAAAATACAGTTACTTCAATTGAAATGGTCAACTGCAGAGTTAGAACGGCAGGCGCGCTACTCACTTTAATATCGATAGCAGAATTTACGTGCAGTTTCTGAATGTGACCGAACAGCTGCATCTTGTCCTGAGACAGATAAGTACACATCTTGCATTTAAAGGCGGTCACGACTTCCAGGAGGTCGTCGACGTTAACGTTGTCGTCCTCCGCGGCGAGGTCCTGCCCGGCCTCCTCGGTAGCGGCCTGGTATTGCACCTCGGACTGTCCGTACGGGCTCCCGGCCACCAGACTGTCCCCGGTGATGTACTCATTCTCGTTGCTCTCCGCGTTCTTCGGGAGCGGCTTCTCGTGGCAATTCGTCTGCTCCACCGACTGACTGGCGTCCAACTCCTGGAGTATTTCATTCTTAATCGCGTACACCTGCCCGTTCAGGTACAACAGCGAAATCGGCTCCTCCTCGGCGTCCAGCTCGGCGCCCCTGGCAGCGTCAACCGCAGTTTGCTCCTCGCTTGACGCCGAGTCCCTCGCGATGTCCGTTGACGGCGGCGCGAGCTTGTAAATGTATCTCGTACCGTTTATATCACAGCTCAAGTAGGACACGTCCATACCGGTTTCCTCGGTCATCGCTGATGACGGAAAGATCGTAGAACAATCGGTGGATTCGACAACAACGCACAAACCGTTCGACACTCTGGACGCACGATTGACTTTAGTCCAGCAAACAAAGCCGACGGATAGCCCTGGCGACAGGCTGACAGATTATCGCAGCAGACCTGGCGTCAATTGTGTCTCTTGCGTGTCCTCTTGGAAAACCTGATCCACGATCCGACGGCAACTTATTGGCCTGAAACCGAACCGAATCCGTGATCTTGTGGTCATTTAAACGGAGCAGGTGCATTTAGGTGGCAATGGAACGGTGGAATTCCGTCTCTGCAATCAATTTACTCTCACATTCCTCTGGCGGAGTCCGTCGTGCTGGATAGTCTGTCAGCAAGATACGCAGACACCTTGCAAACTCTCGTCTAAAACGAACTTAACGTGGGTTTCATTCGTGACGTAAAGTTCAATATACGAATCACTTTGGGATGTACAAAATCCGTCTCGACATACCCTCTGCTTATTCTTAAACGACAAAAAAATCACAATTCGATGTCACAATTCGTACAAACTTTCGCAGGCTATTGCAAGTTTGTGTCCAGAGGTCGAACAGTTCTCGAACGGCCTGAGACGACGACAAGAGGACGACGCCAGGCTCGTTGTGATATTTGCAAACTTATTTACGTCGCGAGATAAACGAACGCGAGCGTACACATGTATACTGTGTCAACGTGGAGCGACGAGGTTATCTCGGCGAGACAGTAATAAGACTAGATCGCGCGGACGGTAATTAAAGCTGAGACACACCTTCGCGTCGACCGATTCTGCGGCCGCTGCTCGGCGAAATTGCAGCGAGGGGAACGAGGAGAGACGCGAGGATATTCAAATTCGAAATCCCGTCCTCGCGAGGCATCTCGCGCACGGTGGGCGTCCGGTTCGAAGTTTCCGGCAGGCGGCCATTCGCTCGCACTTAACCGGGAACGAACGTATCTTCAAATAACTTCTATTCGCAATCGTTTGTACTTTGAATGAAGACGTTTGAAGTGCAATTGAAAAGGTTCGCGAGTCATTCGTTTATTTGTAATTAATTAATTACTGTTCTGTCTGGCATTTGGCCGGAATGGATAAAAATAGAACCGGAGAGAAATCTGAGAGCGGCCACGCCGGCGTTTTACTTGATACCGTTTCAAGGGACTGTTTTGCGCGCCTTTACCTTCACTTTTAAAGCGGAGAGTACACGCTTTTGCATAAGTGCATAAGCATATGCATAACGAACTTGATTGGTCTATAAGCAAATGCACAAGGAAATGGACCAATCAAATTCGTTAAGGTCTGTGTCCACGATGCCAGAACTTGGTCAAAGTTCTAGCCCCGAGAAATGTGTGGCCAATCGACTTGCAGCTTTTATGGAACAGCTGTAAAAATATTATTCTTTATGTTGATTCATCTTATACAGTTACTCTTGACGAACAAAGTAATTTTTGTATCGACACTGTTTATTTTCTATGTAAGTAATTTTCTGTTACAAAAAGAACAGTGTTTAAAAATTTTTTAAATTAATTTATCATAAGTATGTTTTTTGTAATTTTGTATATCAATAAATGCATAAAAAGACAGATTCAAAAACATTTTAATGAACGTACAATTAAATGAACTAAGAAAATGGCGTCCTCACAAACGCGTTGAGCGCTTTTTATTTATATTTGGACGCGTCCCGCATTCCAGCGCAAAATATCTAGTCACTTTAGGGGTCTATTTTGTAAATGTTAACATCATTACGTGTTTTGCGCAGATATAATATATGCCATAGAAAAGCTGTGCAAAGCACACGACGATATTGTTAAGATTCTTTGAATCTTAACGATATTATTGTGTGTTCAAACCCTGGCTGAGGTAATATTTTTTGCAACAGATTTTCTGCATTAACCGATTAATTAACAAATGTGGCCAGCTGTGGTCGAATGAAATTTGGAATTTTATTATTATACTGGCAATTTAAAGAAACTAATCTTTGATATCGTTAAGGTTTACAGAATAGGACCTTCAGATGAGGATAAATGAGGTAAAGTATTCCGGTATTCGTGTGCCACCTTGTCATGCGTATATTTGAAACGCACAGTAAAAAGGCCATATACATGTACGTGAAACCTTTCTACAATCGTTCTTCATCAAATACAAACTGATGCGGCTCGAGGAAAGCAGTAGATTCCTATACGTCGTACAATTCACTTGCAAAAAATGCAATTAAAGATCCATCGAATACGAACGATTCTCATCGATCGATTAGGTCCACTCGAGAGGCAATGGTTCGCTCGATGGAGGGCTGCCGAGGACTCGCATTTATACGTGACTGCGTTTTACACGGCGTAGACGTTACAATATACGAACAAATTGCTGCGCTTAAAATGTAAATCTAACATAATCGGGCTACATTACGGTATAATCGTATACGGTACTTTCTCTCGTCCCGCCGATTAACTGAAGAACTCGCGAGAAATCGGTATTATGTTACAAAAGCTTTACATAGCAATGTAGTCGCAACGTAGCGAAAACGGCAGCGATTATTCTAATACTAAACGAAAGTAAGCAAGCGGTTCGTGGCGTTGTTTGTATAAATACGTGACGGCATTAAAACAAACTGACAGAACGAAATGTGGATTACGCATGAAACTAGTGTTTCGCAATCTCTTCCTCTTCCCGACAATGTCGACGTATCAGCCTCCTCATGTTTCCTCAACACTTTGCGGATCAAGCTCGAGCTTTCAACGCGAGCTCTTTCCTATCGAAGTGTCGAAGAACTCCCGGTTTCCGGTATCTCGGTAAATTGATACATTATATTCGCTTATCTATTCGTTAATATTAACTATACGGTATTACAGTTCATAGCATGAAATCGTATCCCCTTTCCTCTTCCCTCCGCAGCGTGCGCGACATTAAATTGTTTAGCCCGCATCTTCGTCCTGTTCGGCTCTTGAAAAACTAATATGTATATAATGGAATCTACCACCGTGTCTCATAATACTGAATGCCACATGAACAAGAAAGGCCCACTTATGAAAGCGATCGGTATCAGGCAAAACAAAACCCAACTAGAGTCTCAAAGAGTCAATAAATAATTTTTTTTTTCAGCAAATGTTTCAAACAAACCTCGATGAATCCGTCATCGCGAACATTTGTTACAAATTTCTTTCAATGTACCGAGTATCGGGCATTATGAATAAAATGCACACGATTTTAGTGAACAATAATACAGTTTACTAATCGTTCGTACAGCTGCAATTTTTGTAAACCGCTTGTGTATTTGTTGTTCAGTAAATCGCAATGTAATACGAGAGTAATGAATCGAAGACAGCGAGTCGCTGGGTTGAGAACGCCGGTACAAAGCTCTGTGTCGTTACACCGTGTGTAATAAAAGGCAACGTCCGTTATAGTTGGCGTGAAGCGCAACAGAACTTAAGTTCAAGAAGTAAAAGTTACGTGAATATTCAAAGTTTGTACCGTTTCTCAATGTTTATCTTCTCATTCATTATTAGGTCTCCTCCACTCTAGTATTCGTCCACTCGTTTCTTCCCCCCCCTCCCCCCCGACAGTAATGCAAAATTCACCGTTGCTTCAGGATTATTTCTCAAGCAAAATTAAAACAATTTCGTCATAACCTTGACGCCACGGGACAAATTTTGAATTATTGCCTCTTCTTCTCTTTTTTTCTCTCTTATTTAGATTCACCGAAATTTCCGATGCAACATATCATTACTGTCTGCCCGCGAACGATAGGTGTATGGAAATTTCTATTCCCCTCGCTTCTCAACCAGACAAAATTCGCCGTTTCTTTATAGAGATGTTTCTACATCGAGATTAAAATAATTTTGTAATGGTTTTGACGCAACGGGAAAATTTTTTTACTTTCTACTCTCTTTTCGTTCTGTTTTATATATTCACCGAAATTTCCTATACAGCGTATCATTATCGTTTTACTCGAATGACAGATGTATAGAAATTTCTATCTTCCCTTCGCTTCTCAATATTTTACGATACATGAATACGTGACCCCAGATTGCTTCTGGCCCCCGTAGAAAAGCAAATTGGGGCATAGGGACAATGTATGTCGCATTACCTATGTTTCATCAATTTAAAGCTACTTAATCTTTCACGCAATCGTTTGAATCAACACGTATCTCTAGCGCACGTAGCCAGAGGCTTACTCTGGAAAAATACGTGATTTTATGTATAATTTTCACATGCAACATACGCGAATAGAGATAAGAGTTTTAATCTGCTTTAACTTCTTCAAATAATGCGAAGAAATAATATACACACAAAAAATATAAAGTGATCAATTCCAAATCCATTCCAAATAGCCGAGAATTAAAAAAAAAAGAAAAACACCTCTATGATTATTAACATATTATTAGATAACAAGATAGCTTTTTATTCACGATACTGTGGAAGCTAAGGAATTCAATTGAGAAATTAAGAGATGGTCGCATTTCATCTCCAGGTCGTGTCGACTTTACTTAACGTTTTCCCTATAGTGTTCATTATATATTATAGACTGATCCTAACTGGAGAATGACCATTTTTTTAATCATTTGTAGATAAGTATATTGCTATTGTGATCCTGTCAATGAAAACGTTACAATAAATATAGCAGTTATATTTTGTCACTGCTAGGATCGCAATCACGATCAAGCACCAATAATGTTCCTTACGATTCCGTAGCATTGTTAGATTTGCAAGAGTTGTAATACACGAATCATTCAACGATACGCTATTCATAACAATAGGTTTCCGATAATCACAGAAACACTGCCTACTGTGACTGATCAGATGTTCCTAGTTGTTAAACGAAAGAATTCTTACACAGTTACTAAATACATATTGCTTATTGGTGCTTGAACGGCATTTCAATGTAATTAGGACACTGCAGAAGATTAGGAAGATTTCATACAACACATACTAATAACTAATTTAAATAATTGTATATAAATTGATTTCAGATTTTACATCCCTTCGATCTTTACCATATTTTTAGTAATGCAAATAGCAAGCGATGCAATAACAAACGTGTGAAATAAAAGTATCTCATCATGCATGTTTTACATCAATTTGTAACAAATATTTCTCAAACCGATACAAATACATTTTTACAAATATAACCAAATTATTGTTAACATAAAACAGCTTTTTTTCTATACAGATAGATTATACTATATAGAAAAAAATTTCATATGAGAGAAAAGGAGAGAGAGCAATTTTATTAGATCTGATTCCTCGAATAAAGGAATCGGATTTAGCAAAAAAATTGGCTCCCATAACCACGGCTGAGACCTTCTTGGCGCGATTGAAGAAAGAAGTCTCTGTCGAGGAGTAGCATTTCTCTAACATGAAATTGGCAATGAATAAGCAAGATTTTGCAAAGAAATTTACTAACGGAATTAACTTAATTCTCTTTTGCAGTATCCTAAAGAAGCATAAATACAACTCAACATTATATGACCTTAAGTGCTACTCAATTACTTATCGATAGCTCCATCCATAATGTTATTTTTAACTTGAATGCTAATGTGTATTCCATCACCGGACGCGCCTTTATCCTTCTTCACTTGTGCTGCATTTGAGGCATTATCAAGTCCCAATTTACTAAGAGTACGAAGCGCCCTTAGAGCCGCTTGATTGCGACTCGCGGTTATTGTCGCTCCATTACCGTGACAAACTTGCGGTGGATCAGTGCTTAGCGACACAAGTGATAAATATTCCTTGTTTATAGACACTCCCTGGAACAATGGAAGATAATAATGGCTTAATTCGCTACACGCGTCCCATCTTGATTTACTTGATTCCATTTCTATTAATTAAAACCATTTTAATACGGATGAAACGAACGCGATAAATTACCTTGGGAAAATCGTTAAATTCTACGCTGAAATTAAATAACTGAGATAAATAATGCAATTGATCCTTGGGCGAAACACCAGCCGTATTCTGCTGCTGCTGTTCGCGCAACTCTTCAGCGACTATTTGTACGCTGGGTCCATTCCCCAGTTTAGATTCTTGACCTCCGTCCACCAATAAAAGACCAGGTACTAATTGGCGGCCTATGGTACCTAAAGAGGATGACAAATTTTAAAACTGACCGAACACAGCTGTGACCGATGTTGTTCCTTACCTCCTACCGAGTGAGGTTGAATGTCGTTCATTTGTTCGTCCTCGAGAAATGTGACTTTTCTAGGCTTCGACTCCGTGTTCTCGTTCTCTCCCGTCTTTATGGATGGTTTCGCGGGCTGCGGCGACGGTTTACTGTATCCTAATTGCGCCAAGAGAGCCTCAGCCGCGGCTCTCTTAGCCAATTTCTTGTTAGGTCCGATTCCCTGGGCGGAGTGCTGGCCCATTATTACTTCCATGACAAACTCTCTACGTCTCGGCGCGCCCTTCTCGTCTATCAGATTGTAAACCGGTTCCCTCTCGCGTTTCGCCTGTTGAATCTGAACGAGCCGGGAGACCGGGTTCACTTCCTCCGAGGCTTCATTCTCCGCACGGGGCTCTTGATAAACTTTGATTAAATTACGAGATTTCTTCTTCGTCGCCGGCGGCTTACGTTTCACTCGCATCGTTCGGTTCTGTATGGTGGCCGGTAACGGAGGAAGACGCTTCAGTTCGTCTAACATCAACTCGGCGGCGCGTTTCTTCGACACCTGAGAAAACGGAGACGGAGGGGGATACGAGCATTAGGAATTGCATTACTTATTCTTCTACGCGAAAAGTTTGAGAGATTACTTTTTTCGATGAGCCCTCTCCCACAGTAACCTTCTCGCCGACAGTACATTTTGTCATAAAGGTCCTTATATGAGGTTTACCGCTTTCGGATACGACTTCAAAACTGACTGGCAGTCCACGCTTTAGCGCGGTCTCGTGGACAAGAGACACAGGACTTTTCAACTCGGCGTTCGGATCGTCGATGCCACCCAGCGAACCGTTCTCGCTGGCGGTATTCGTGTTCGTGATCTCTTCTGGTAGTGGCAACTGTCGTAACTGTTCCAAAGCTCTGCTAGCTGCGTCATGACGTGCCGCTTGGCCTGTCAAGCCTCTACCCGTAAATTCGCGTTCGCCAACCTTCAGAGTGACGAGATACAATCCCTGAAGATCCGTGTGAGTTCCGCGATTGTACGTGAGTCGAGGACTATACATTCGTGGGAAGTTACCGAATCCGTGCGGCATAAATTGATGTTGCAACGCCGCTGGCGGAGCTTGTCGGAACGTATAAACAGTTGGCTCACCCCGTTTCATCGCTAACGCATTCAGTTCGACAGTGGGCGGCAAATGTCCTGTAATCCAAAACGGCACGATTTAAATATCGGAGAATTCTGTGGATTTTATAATCGAAGAAAAAGAGGCAAAGTTATAGGTCAACTTCGCTGCACAGTCACGACTGCTTATACCGAGGAAGATAGCGTTGCAAATCGATGTTGTTCAACTGTAGTTGCATGCACGTAGAATTCACAAAGCAAAATTACCAGAGCCCGTCGGACATTTGCCGAGATGGCCGATCCTCATGGCCTTGGTGGGTTTAGGCGGAGGTTGACGGTACCAAGTCTTCGTTAGCGCTTCAGTCGCCGCGCTATGCTGAGCTTTCTTTATACTAGGACCCTCAGCGACATACTCCTCCTCGCCCAGTTTTAGCGTCACCGTGAATCTCTTTTTGTGCGCCGGTCCCTGCTCGTTTGTCAGTCTGTATTGATGTTGAATCCTATTGAATCTCGCCAACTCGTTCAACAAGCACATGGGTGTCTTTTCTTTCATGTTTGCCAAAGCTGGATTAGTCGCGTTAGCATGATTCTGACCGGACACACTATCGTCCCTGGACTCTCCATTGGCGTCGTTCGTTATCACCTTCGATTGCTCCACGTTTGACTGTTGCGGCGACACATGCTGCGGCTGCTGCTGCGACTGCGGCTGCTGCACCTGCTGCTGCGACGGCTGTTGCTGCTGGGAAGGCTGATTCTGCTGATTATTCGGCTGCTGCTGCTGCTGATGTGGATACTGAGGCTGCTGCACATTCTGAAGAGTCACGGAAACGGTACTTGCTTGGTCCTTCATGCTAACGCTAACCATCGTATCTGCAAGTAAACGGTTTACTTTCTTGCGATAATCTTCACGGACCAAGAGCAAGGGTCAAATCTGCCGCTGCGTATCTGTACTCACTGTTTGTACTGTGCGTACTCATGCCCATCAACATCGGTTGTCTCGGGTTTCCATGCGGCGGGCCAGGATGCTGCATGTGATGCATATGCTGTTGATGGGGGGGCATGGACAGTATCTGCTGATGCGGATTCCGATGCGGCAGCAAATGCTGCGTCTGATGTAGCTGGGGCATGTTAGCCTGCTGCATAGGCCGCATTGGTCCTGCCATTCTGTGGGGTCAGTGTTTTTTTTTTTTTCGCTCGATTAACATCCCGTCGAACAAGTCCCTCGCTCATCTTTTTATACATTAGCGAACGTACAACTACCGTTATCTTTGTCCTAGGTATATTTGATTCTACAATGACTCTTGTGTGAAAATTCTCACTGTAGAAACGTTGTACGGATAATACGTATAGCGACACGCCATCGAGTTGCTAGACAGAATCATTGGGAAGTTTCGCGGTTTCAACATAGTATAACCATAGTATAAACTAGTAGGTCCACTCGTTCCTTTCGTTTTGCGTCGATCCCTTCTGCGCGTCCGACATTGCTCCGGGTAGACTAACGAGAGAAATGTTGTATGTGTTGTGTGGCTTAGATGAGTACACACACACACACACACGTCGCTGGACCCTGTCGGGGTGTATGGCGCAGTACCACAGGACCGCAAAGGCCGAAGGAGCGGGCGGAGAGTGGATCTACCAGTTATACTACGGTTTCGATAACTTGCGACGGGCATTTGCACGTCCCGGCGGTTATTTACGTCTGGACGTCTAGGAAAGCGCGAAGCTCCCAGAGGAGACGAGTGCTTCCGTCGCACTTCCCATACGATTCTGCCGCCGCAGAGGCGCGAACGGTATAAGACTTGATCATGCGACATTAACCTGTTGTGATCTCGGAGCTGATTTTGCATCGTGTGATGTTGGTGGCGTAACATCTTACGAGAATCTACGCAGACAAACCTGTAAAATGAAAAGAGCAAGGTCATTCAATCCCCGTGTCAACGTATCTCAGACGGCGGAGTCGCGTCGCGTAGCACGCGCGAGCGAGCGAGCGGATCTCCGCGACCGCGAATTAAAAGAAAAAGCCAAAAAAAAACACCCCCCAACGAGACCGTCCGTCCTCTCTCGCGCCGAGCTCCCGCGTAGCAATGGGCAGAACCACGAGCCATTTCCTCTGCCAGTGCTTCGCTCGGTCAGCGAGGGAGGACACGGGACGAGTGTTAATTATCAATAAACAAGCGATCCGGCCTGCGAATCGGCGCCGCTTGTTGATCCCCGCCGGTCAACAAAGGAGGACGCAACGTGCCAGTCCCGCGCGAAGAAGACGAGGAGGAAGGCCCCAGGCTCCGAGATGCAATTCCCGGCGTACACGCGGCGACTCCCCTCCGCCTTTCCCTCTTTCCGCGTGGATAACGGCCGCGCGAGAACGAGCCGCCGGACTCGAGGGGGGGGGATGGGGTGGGGGAGGGGAGGGGTGGCGGCAGGACGGACGAGGAGGAGACGGTATAACCTTCCTGCGGGAAGGGCGAGCCGGAGCCGGTACGACGGGCGGTTTATTTACGCGGGACGCGGCCCCGTCGTCGCGGCCGCGCGCGCGAATCTCGTACGCGCGTACGGTTTTGCGGACGCGCGAGCGACGTTCTCTCTCCGTTTTTCTATAAATAAAGTCCCGTCTCGCGCGCGCTCTCTCTCTCTCTCTCTTGCTCCCGAGAGGAATGGGCTTGGTCCGGCGACGACGGCGGCGGCGGCGGCCCGTCCGCACGGTCGGAGCCACGCCGCGCGCGCGGCGCGCAGCACACACCTTTTTGCTCACTTTTCCGACACTTACCCGGTCACGTTCGCTCGATTTCGCGGAAATTTCGGGCGCGTCGCGCGGCACAGGCGAATTTCCGGCGAAACGGGCACACTCCGACGGGGACCGACACCGCCAGGCCCTCAGCGCGGCTATTGGCAAACAGTAAAGAAAAGCGCTCGGTAGACTAAAATGCGGCCATTTTGATGTGGAGCTAGCGGCGGAGCCGTGACGTCACCGGCGGCGCGTTCTCGGCCCCGCGACGCGGGGTGATGCACGGACCGCGGGAAGGAGCGACGGAGGCAGCAGCAGCAGCAGCAGACGGCGGCAACGAGCGCCTAGATAAGAGTTCGACAATTACTTTCGGCTCCTTTTCCCCGGAATCACCGCCCGCTTTCTCACGTACATTGGTGCCGCGGGCCGACAGAAGCTGCTCGTAGTTCGCGGGTTCTTTTCAAGGTAGGCGCAAACACGCGTGTCGGCGCGACACTCGAGTGTAAAGGCCATTCTACAATTGCGTAAACGTGGTTGTTATCGGTTGTACAGTGTTGTAAAACACGTAGTTTTAAACTAGCATCTCCGATTGTAAAGCCTGTTGTAAAAGATGGCTGAACTTGATCTTTCACGACTACAACGATGTAGGACGTAAAAGCTAACCAATCATTCATTTCAATTACGACGTATCTCACTCTATTGTATATTACTTTGATGTACAACACTTACTACTACTTCTACTCCTACAACCCAACAACTATAAAGGCCATTCTACAATTGCGTAAACGTGGTTGTTATCGGTTTACAGTGTTATTGTAAAACACTGCAGTTTTAAACTAGCATCTCCGATTGCAAAGCCTGTTGTAAAAGATGGCTGATGAACTTAATTGATCTTTCACGACTACAACGATGTAGGACGTAAAAGCTAACCAATCATTCACTTTAATTACGACGTATCTCACTTTATTGTATATTACTTTGATGTACACGCACCGGCATAAATGCTGTCCCTATCCTTGTGAGGTGCACGCACACAACTACAGGGACTCTAGTTGTGTGCGTGCACCTTACAAGGATAGGGACAGCATTTATGCCGGTGCGTGTACAACACATACTACTACTTCTACTCCTACAACCCTACAACTACGTTTACGCAATTGTAGAATGGCCTTAACGTTTACGCAATTGTAGAATGGCCTTTAGGCTGATGGCAGAGAACAATCCGTAAACGCTTAAGACTGTCTCAGTCGTAGACGTAGGGCAAGGCAGAGAGAAACGTAAGTCGTGAAAGGCTATGGTACACGACTTACGTTTCTCTCTGCCTTGCCCTACGTCTACGACTGAGACAGTCTTAAGCGTTTACGGATTGTTCTCTGCCATCAGCCTTACCGACGCTCTCGGGACGCGTGTTTTTCCGAGATTCCCAATTAGAGGAAACTGTCGCAAGTATTCAAATAGGAGCGAGATTAGGAGGGTAAGTACACGTCCCCCGCTGGAGATCGTCAATCGTGTCCGAGGAATGTCTTTCGGCGAGAGATCAGAATACGCGTGTCCCTCGAGTATCGCCGAGAAATGCGTCGAAAGAACACGCATTCGAGGGACGGGCCACTCGGGATTGGATTCTGAAGGTGAGGTGCATCGTTTCTCGTTTCCCGGACTTGGGACAACAGCTAATGGGACGCGCTTATACGCGGCCGTCGACGCGATATGTACGAGTCGAGCCATCGGCCGCGTTCAGCAGAAGAAGCTACTTTGCTTAGCTGCTGTAAAATTGAATCTGATTGGCGTATGCTCTTAAATTCACCCACGTTTAGGATAATGCGCCAATCAGATTTACGTACTTTACGAACAGTTGCAAACGCAGCCAA